CCCAGGCCTACCCGGCTGTCACCACCGCCTGTGGAACCTGCAGGGTGCTTCATATCTGAATGCACTGCTGAAGGGTTCAGGACTCGCACATGCAACCAGAATCTCCTCCTGCATTGTCCTCAAACAGAGGGAAGCATTTTTTTAAAAAAATATTTATCATGTATAGTTTGTTTTTTACTTATTTGTTATGTATACAGTTGTTTTTTTTTTTTTTTTATCTGTGTACTTGTTTGCACGCCAGGAAAAGGCATCAGATCTCATTACAGATGGTTGCAAGCCACTATGTGGTTGCTGGGAATTTGAACTCAGGACCTCTGGAAGAACCCGCAATGCTCTTAACCTCTGAGCCATCTCTTCAGCCCCCCAGAGGGAAGCATTTGAGAGACAAGTTGAGATATCTTTATGCTAAGTATTACCTTCAGCAACTGATTTTAATTTTAAAATTTTTTTTAAATTTTCAAAGGTCATGAGAAAGATCAGATATAAAATTCCTGAAACATAATTTGGGGGCATTAAAGTAGTAATTGCGTAATAACAGAATTACTACATTTGCGTATATGAATATGATGTCTCAGTCTATTTGGATTGCTATTTAAAAAGAAAAATCACAGCCTGTGTGACTGAGCAATGACAGCAAATCTATTTCTCATAGTTTTGGTCCCAGAATAGAGCAGTGTGTGAAGGGCCCCTTCTAGCTTACATAGAGCCTTGTGGTCTGTCACTGAATGGTACAAGACAGAGCACCCCTGAAGTGACAGGGCTCACAGAGGGTCCCAGTGGGGGGCAGGGCCCGTGCTAATGACACAGCCTTAAAGAAAGTCAGAACTTGGGAGAAAGTTGTATAACGTCAGTGCCTTCTGGGTCACAAGGCCGTCATGCTGGCCTGCACACTTATGAAGGCCTGCATCCCTAGGACCTGAGAAACGAAAGTATTTATCTGGGAACGACACACCATAGCAAGTCTTTCTTAACAAGTGGATGACAGAGGAGCCCGCTGAACACCTCCTCCACTCAAACACCACTGGTCGCACTTTTCTCTCGCACGCACCTCCCAGACATGCTCTACCTAAATTACAGTCCTGGTAGAACAGAGAGGTGCAATTCTCCCAAGGGCTCTGAGTCAGAGTGATGCTCTCCAGGGAACCTTCTTTGTGTACAGACACACGCACACAGATGTGAACACACACATACATGCAGTCAGAGGAATGGGCACATCCACATTCATGAAAATCATGCACACTTGCACTTCCTATTTGTAACCACTCACATGTACAATCACAACTACGCGTGTGGTCCCCATTCACCTGTGAGCGCACAGACACATGCAGTCAGGTACACACAACCACATACCATTCTGACATGCCCACTGGAGTCCCTCTGACATTTCACGTACCACATACTAAAAACATCATCAAATGGAGTTCGCAGAAGCTACAGGACCAGCCCAGAGTCCCTACTTTATAAGAGGAACCCCAAGCCCAGGCAAAGACAGGGCCAACACAATGAGCATTGTCCAGGGCAGGAAGTACAGACAATGGCTCCCACCCAATCAGCGTACACCAATTGCAAGTCAGAGCCTCGACGCTGCTCTGGGCTTCTCCTTGCTGCTCTTGCCCACTGGGTCCCTATGGAAAAGTAACAAAGAACTCCCTGAGGTGTTAAGTAGTATACTAAGGTAGGACGAAGGCTGTGTGGACTAGTTCCTCCATAACCAGGCCTTACTATATAAAGAAACGCAACTCTTCCTGGGGGACAACGACCATGGTGCATGCCAGTCACTGCTGCAGGTGTTGGCTAGCAAAACCCTTCATCTAAAGAGCCCCCCACCTCCAGATCCCCATGCATGATCTGTGCTTGCATGCAGGAACAAGACATGTGTGGGTATTAGACATGTGGGACCCCATCAGAACACTTCCCATAAAGGGCTCCCGGGAGACTAACCCTGACTTCAGTCCCACGAAGCTGGGTGCAGGCTTTGCACGCACCTTGCCAGCCCCTGGTTCAGTCACACTGTGGGCTCTAGTCCTAGATGGGGAAGTGTTGGGGAAGTTCTGTGTATACGTCAATAAAGCACTGTTGGCCCATAGGGAACCAAGATAGGTGGGCCTAGAAGTCCAGGAGAACACTGGGAAGGAGAAACACAGGAAGTCAAGATGTACCCGCCATGGGGTAGGAAGCCCGGAAATTTCTCCAGTAAGAGAAATACTTAGATTAACAATTATGGGGTAAATACTTAAGTCAGAGCTAGCCAGCAAGAAACAAGCAAGGCCAACAGCTTCATAATTAATATAGCCTCCTGTGTGTTATTTGGGACTGATGCGGCTCTGGAACCAGGCTGGCAGGAAGGCTTCTCTTTATAGGGAGGCAAACTTTGTCTCTGTCGAGGCTGCTGCCCAGAAGAAAGCCCAACGGAATGTGGACTTAGCTGATCCCCTATTACCTTGTTCCCAAACTGCACACAGCTAGCTAATGCTGACTCAGGGGAGCACAGATGGGGGCCTCAGCCCCCCTTCACCTCAGCGCACCTTCTCCTGCCTTAGTTTCAGACTTGAGGCTCATATTTAGAGGTCCAATTATTTTCATTCATTTTTATTTATTAATATTCCTATAAGGGAGTTGGGGGAGGGGACCATGCAATGCTATGGGACATGGGTAGAGGGCAGAGAACTTTGAGGAGTAAGTTCATTCTTTCAAATTCTATGTGGGTTTTGGGAACTAAACTCAGACCCTCAGGCTTATACTAAGACCTTTCACCAGGCCCAAGATGCAATTCTTGAAACAGAAGTACTTCCAGGAGAAGGAGGTTCACAGTACAAATAGAACTAGACAGCTTTTTATACATGCTCCTGGGTGTGCCAACCCCGGAGAACGGGCCGGGGCCGTTGTCTTCCGTCACAGACACTACAGAGCAAGCCTGGTGAGGCAGATGGCACACTAGGCATGCCACTCTGGTCTGCACACAGAAAGGGCCATTACACCAGGCTGATGGGACCTTCCTGTACGGATAGGGCATGCTCAGGGAAAGCCTAGTGCTGTGAGCCAGCTCCCATGAGGTCCGGGTTACTATGCAGGGCAGGACTGTTGCCCTCAATGGATCATGGGAAAAGACTCCGGAATCTAGAGGCAGGACAGCTGGCTTCCGGTTGGACTCAGCCGCACAAGTACAGCCACAGGGAGGTCACAAACACAAAGGACAGTGAGTGTGCCCTCCCCACAAGGTCACTTCTGCTAACACACTAAAGAGCTCTGTCCATCCCCTGGGTGCCAATGACCCGATCTCAGCTCCCTTCCTTTTTCCTTTAGGCCAACAGAAAGCGGGTGGAGAGCCCCTGCCAGTTCCTGCGGCTGTGCCAACTCCCACCGTCCTCCTCAGTCAGTGAGGCCCCACCTACCCACCACTGCCTACTGACCTCAGCATCAATGACATCTTCCCGCACCCCTGTACTCTGGGCACGTCATGGCTTAGAAACCCTGCTGGCCTCTAGGAAGCTGCTTATAAGCAGAAAGCAACAGAGGCCCCAGCATTCTACACCAACTGGGGCGGGGTGGGGTGGGGTGGGGTGTGAGAGGAGTGGATGCTGGGTAGGCAGGAGTGCAGTGGGGAGACACCTGTGACTGGGGGGCTGGAGCATGGAGACACGGACAACCTCATCAGGCCCAGGATGAATGGAAACAACTAGGACTCAAGTAAACAGGGGGACCCCCAGGAAGCTGAGGGTAGGGGGACCCCCAGCAGGCGAGGCTAGGAGGGAACAAGCCAGGCTCAGGTCAACAGGGACCCCCAGCAGGCCAAGGGTGGGAGGGAACTCGGGACTCAGCTAGCAAGGGAGATACTCAGCAGGCCTGGGATGGAGCCAAGGGTCGGCAGTTAGCATGCTCTTTAACACTGTGGGGCAGAGGACATCAAACTGGAATACTACAGGCCAGGCAGATGCCTTTCAACTCTAAACAGATCCTAGGGGGGGCCACACTCCCAGTCCACTCCTGACTCGTTGTGGTGCATCTTCTCTCTAAAACTTCAGGTCAGAAAGACAGAAAAGAGCACTACAGAGGCCTACCAGGCACACCCCGGAAATCGTCCACAACGGAACCGATGGGGGTGGCAGCGAACTCTACAATCCCAGAACTCGGGAGGCAAGCTAGGAGGACAAGAGTTCAGGCTAGCCTGCTGGAAAGAGGAAGGAAAGCTAGCTAAACTAACACTACGAAGGAAACCCTAAACACCACAATGGACCCGACACCAAAGAACAGTCCCCATCACACCCCAAAGGCCCAATCCTTATGGGCTTCCGGGACTGCGCGATGGAAGCCAGTCACATTCATTTTGGAGACTTAACCAATATGCAGTCACAGGAGAATTCTAAATGGCACCAACTGTAAGGTTTAAGCATCAAGAAGCCATCCTGATGGCTGTTTAGAAACAATACCAATGTTTTCTACAAACAGGATGAGAGGACCCTAACTCAGGGGCTGGAGAGAGGGCTCAGTGGTTACAAGCACTGGCTGCTTCCAGAAGATCTGGGCTCAATTCCCAGCACCCACGTGACAGCTCACAACTGTTTGTAACTCCAGTTACATACAGACAAAATGCAGGGAAGAAAATGCACATAAAATAAACAAATTATTTAAAAAAAATAGAAAAGCAAACAAACAAAATGGACCCTAACTCAAGAATAGACACTTCATTTGCAGACTATAGATTTGGAAATGAAACCCTGAAAAGTGTTAAGTAGGCTGTAAATGTCCTGACTTGAAGACACAAATTGCCCATGGCAGCCTACTTTCCTAGGGTAATAGCTCTGCTCTTTCTAGAAATTTTCCTTAGGAGTTTATCTTTGTAAACATGGGATCCCCTGCCAGGTGGGGGGTAAAGAGAGGTGCAACAGGGAAATTCCATAACTTAACTTTTGGAAACTCCCAGATGAATGGCTGGCTTCATTTTACTGCCCCCGCCCCCACCTTGGGTCTAAAGGGTGAGAGGTTCAAGGGCATGGACTTACCTCGGCAAGCAATCCCTTGACCGTCAATGGTCTGTCTGCACACTCCACAGACTCTGGGCTTTTTAAAGTCCTTTTTCTTAAAACTGTGAGGACACGTGGTAAATTCTTCTGGCTGAAAGAGTAAAGGAACTGTCAGCACTTCAGCTCGTGGCGTCTTTTTTTATTTCTTTCCTAAGAGATAATAAATCTAGCAAACCTTGAAAGGGGCTGAAAGAAGAGCTTTACCAAGTAAACTATAGTTTCTGAAGAGAGTCCCTGGATGACATTGGGGATCTAGGGGGCAGGGCACCCTCTGTCAGTCTAAGCGTCTCCCCTGGGGTGCATCGGGACTGAAACATTAGGCAGCTACCTGGGTGGTAATATGCTCCTTCCAGCCTCCAGGCTTACATCATCCACGGCAATAACAAAGTAACCAAGCACCCTCCCAGACTCAGGCGTTTTCTCGTAGAATAAATAATTAGCAAAGAGCAAAACAAAGTTCAGCGATTCTAAACGACTTTCCTGTCAAAGGTGTCCCAAATTAACCAGTAAGGTTCAGAGGCTCTCAGACCATGTTCTAGGATGCGCTCTTCTGTAGAGCAGACAGTCCTAGGGTGGGCGGGGCACACACTCGCTTCTTCTCAACCATGATGACAAGAGTTAGTATGGGGAGATTAGTTTTCATCCACCAAGTTTGTGTTTACGGAGTCTGAGGCTCTTGGAAACATTCACATTTTTTTTAGAAATATCCTTATGCCTATTTGCTGATGACAGAACATGATCCGCAATAACCACGTGGATATTAGTCAAGACACATGGAGGTCACGGCACACCCACCAAGATAACGGAAATTTACTGAGAAAAAAATGTTACCATGTCTCATGTACTCAGTAACAACCACTTTGGGAAAAAAGCTTGACAATTTCTTACAAACTTTAAAAAAAGTGTGACAAGGTAACTCAAAAGGTATCCAGGGCTACAGGAATTACTTTACTTTCTGTCCAGCCCTAGCACTCATGCAGTGTAGTCAATACTGTAGTCTAATAATAAAAAACAAACTGTCCCAAACAAGAAATAATAACCTATCTCTCATAAAAGAAGATTTTTTCCCCAAAGGTATTGGTAATACAACTGAATAGTGTTTGGAAACACACAGGTGCGGACTATCCGTGCAGGTCCGTGGATTAAAGGATCACACAATCTGAAATCTCAAGGCTATGAGAGTTCTATGATTGTCCACTGGAACTCCAGCACATCTGAGCCAACAGCAGCCACAGAACATACTGCATGGTGAATGGGTGGGAACCCTGAAGGAACACTGACGGTGGGCGTTGGTTTCAGGCCCGGGAGGCAGCTAAAGAGGGCACACAGTTGAAGTCATTAAAGCTTCATAACTGTATGTCATGCTAGCTAACGATCTACAAGAGAGGTGAAAAAAATGCAGATCTGTATAAAATAATGCTCCTGGGCAAGATGTGCTAGCCAGATTGCTTTTAAGGACTTCGGGGACGTGGAACACCGTGACAGCAGCGTTTTTATTTACTTAGCTCTGAAGAAGTCACAGGATCTTCCTTGAACTGCTGGTGCAAAAATCCTAGCAGAGAATAAATGTATCCTCATACTACAACATGCACAAAATACACAGAACCATTGTTTGAAAACACCGCAGCAGGAAATGACGGACCGAGATGAGGATGCTTTGGTCAGCAAACCCCCTCAAGCACCAAGGTGCTCTGAGAGTCAACTGAGGCTGAAGCCCTCCACTTGGTGACTCTGGGCAATCTTAGTTTACAGGAACACAACGACAACTGCACCTGATGACATACATCCGAAGTGCACCCGTGTTCAGGGACCCGCGGCTGCACTTCCGAGGGAAGAATAAGTTAAGGTGAACCTCCTGTCTCACTCACTCTTTCTTAAGGGACTCTAGGCTGCAGAGGAGATCCAGGCTGAGTCCAGTGAGATGCCTCTGTTGAGGAAAGCTAGAAGAGTTTCCTACAAGGCACCACAGAACGAAGAGCTGCAGAACTTTTTTTCTTTTTTCTTTTTTGGTTTTTCAAGACAGGATTTCTCTGTGCATAGCTCTGGCTGTCCTAGAACTTTCTCTGTAAGATCAGGCTGGTCTCAAAATCACAGAGATCCTCCTGTCTCTGCCTCCCAAATGCTGAGATTAAAGGTATATGCCACCACCGCCCAGCGTAGAACTTTTTTTTTAAAGATTTATTTATTTTGTGTACAGTATTTTGCCTGTATGTATGCTTAAACACTAGAAGAGGGCACCAGATCTCGTTACAGATGGCTGTGAACTCAGGACCTCTGGAAGAGCAGCCAGTGCTCTTAACCTCTGAGCTATCTCTCCAGCCCCACAGCCCCAGCAGAACTCTTAAGGTCTGCAGAAAAGCCTTCAAAAAGGGCCAGTACTGAGGAGCATATGTGTGTCCATCAAGCATCTAGAAAAAAGCCCCTCACTTCCCCAACACACACCCTATGCCTCTCCAGCAGGGTTAGAGAAGCAGGGCCCCTGTACATCAGAAATCCCAATTTTGCCCTGTGCTACAGGAAATGCAGAGCGACCGTGCCTTGTAGAGATTAGCTAGACTTTGAACACACCGTCCTTGGCCTACAGAAGCTATTTGAAAAACACTGCCCCAAGGCTGTTACTGCTATCCAGGAACAGAACTACATTTCAGAGAAAAAGCACACCCAGAATACCACAAAGACCATAAAATTTCCCAGAATTCAACCAAGGCAAAAATTATCAGGCACTCAAGGATACAAGAATGTAAATAGAATTCATAATTAGAAAATAAACGATGGAAACTGACTGGGACGTTAGAATTAGCAGACAAGGACCATAAGCGTGTTATTACAATTTTATTACATCTTCTCAAAATGTGGGGAGGGGGAGGTGGAGAAAAGGAGGCAGAGAGAGGGGCTAGCCAAACGACAGAAGGAAGAAAGAACCACATTATTGGTGAAATAATTTTAAACCCTTATTTCTTAAAAGGAGTTTAAATGGAAGTTAGCACGCACAGGTAGACAATGCTGCTCTCATAAGGCAGTGGTTATTTGATGAAAATCTCAGTGCCTGGCACAGGATACCTCCCTATAAGGTGTTGGTCAGGGATACCTCAAAATAATACAAGCTATTGCCATGGTTTATAAGAAAACAGACATGTCAAGGACCTCGTGTTCATAAAGGGATAACCATGTAAGGACTGGAGAAGTGAAGAAACGAGTCCTGAAATCAGAGAAACCATGACGTCTGTGTCCTTCCTCAACACTGGTAGCGAATACACTTCTGTTAGGCCACGATTTCTGTGGCATTTGGTTATGCAACCCTCTCTCAGCAACTGACAGATCCAGTCAAAAAAAACAAACATGGATACAAATGATTTGAATGATATTATCAAACAATTTGACCTAACAGAAACCAAGTATTTGGCTCAAGAGCACCAGAACACACATTCTTTCAAGTGTACTAGCGTGTTTAGCTATGTTGCGAACACAGAACAAGTCTGAACAAATCTAAATGCATTCAAGTCCTACTGAAGAAAAGAAATTTTCTTTGACCACAACGGAATCAAAGTTGGGAACATGAGCAGCAGTCTCTGGAAAATCCCCAAACGGTTGCAAACAAAATACTACACTTCTAAATAACACATGGGTTAGCCGACATAATCCACAACACACTACACTGTGAAAAGTTGGCTTATCCCAGAAACGTAAGAGTTCAAAACATTCACAATATCAATCAATAAACTTAAATACCAGAGCTCTGGAGGGTGAGGCAGGGAAAAGGTAGAGGCCAGACCCTGTCTCAAAAAGCAAAACTGTCAAAAAAAAAAAAAAAAGCTAAGAAGGGAACCAGCTAGTCTTCTAAATCAGTGGGTGGGAAAGTCTACTGACAAAACCTACCCTCCACCCTGATAAGATCTCAAACGGAGAAAAGGGGGCTTCCTCCCTTGATCACATGTGGCTAGATAAATCCTACAGCAAACATCCTTAGTCACAGGAGCTGGTGCTTCCTTTTAAGATACGTGGCCAGGCAGAGGTGGCACTATTCAAGACTTCACATTGAGATTCTAAACGGCACGATGAGGCGAGAAAAGGAAATAAAAGGCAACCCATTTGGAAAGCTGTAAAATAGTCTTGTTCCTGGTAACCTGACAGCCTAGGCAGAAAAATCTGATGAAATCTAAAAAAAAAAAAAATCAGCAAAACAGGACGATACAAGATCAACACATTGTTCTGTCCAGAAGTCACCAATGAACTCCCACAAATGAAATTGGAAAACCTTTACCACTTCCAAACCTAAGAGGCCATTTCTAGACCCAGAATCTTCCCTGGCTATATTGACATCTCACTGCCTGCTCCTTGTATCTGCTATGATGGAGACAACACTGTCACAGAAAGAGAAAGTGCCGGAACCCAGCAGGGACCTCTGCACTGGCTCTGTCATCTGAATTTAAACCTGGCCTTCCTGAGCAAGCCACAACTCCTCTTAAATGGAAAGGACACCCTCCCTCCCCTACTGGAAATGACCTAAATGCTACACATCCACAGGCATAACTTGGGTAGTTTTAAAAACAACTTGGGGTAGAGTTCACCCCAGACCAAGTCAAATCTGATTCCCCTAGAGACAGGAGCAGAAAACACTGGGAAGTGTTTAGAGCTACCACTCTTCCTTACAGTGTCACTTGGACCTGTACTGTTAAGGCACCTCTATTAAATACTCCTCCCTATGCCTGTGTCTGTCTGTTTCAAATTAGGTATTGCCAACTTGATAGCAGACACCCTGTATCCAGAGCCCCGCAGGAGTCTGCAATACTCACATTAGTAAGGCACTTGCACATCATTATCACAACCCCCACTGCTGTACAGATGGAGACCGTGATACACAAGACCCAGACCCTACAGACAACCAATGAGGGAAAGGCTCACCCCAAGGCCACATTCAGACAGGCACAGGAATTCACCCTTCTTCACACCCAGGCTGGCACATACCTTTTCTGACCACCTTGCAGCTCTTTTATAATGTTCTCTCTTGTGCTAGCCTGCCATATCCTGTGTGGGGGGTACCAGGCTCTTTCTCCTTTGTCCTCTGTGAGCCCTGCCCAGCTGGCAGACAGC